ATAGCATAAATACTGTAAATAGTTAAGAAGACAGTCTGAGAAAAGCTTCCGCATTTTAATCTACAAGTGCAAGTAGATTCCTTAGGGTCCCCCAGAATTGCTTCAATATTATTTGAGCAGCTAGGAGATTCCAGTATAAATTATTTGAACTAGGGAATCCTTGTAAATGCAATACAATTAAAAAGGCAATAGATTCACTGTTCAACATATACAATGGAACACATGTATATGCTGCTAAGAGTCATCACAAGGGTCAATGTGGTAAGAAATTCAAGAAACCTCTAGCAACAAAAAGTTAGTTGCTGGAAGTAACTAACAACTGAAAAGTAACCAGGACTGCATCACAGATGTCTAGTCTGTTTGATCCAGTGGGACTATTGCTTCTGGCTAGGTTTCTAGCAAATATAAAGAGGCTATCATTAGACAACATACTATAGAAGATAATATCTAAAACTACTGATGGTTTCAATCATTATCACCACAGTGATGCAGCAGCCTGTTGTAGATTATTGCCCTGGGCCATCAAACTTCCTGATGAAAGTTAAAACAAACTGTGTTGCATATCTTTATACTTTTCATCACCATCCTGCAGTTATAAAATGAACAAACGGTTTTAGCAAATAATCATAAACCTAGTCTACCAAATGAGAATCAGTAGCTTTAATTAATAAAAAACATCCAAGAGCCAGAAAGATAATTTAATAATCATTATAGTCTTCATATTGGAGCCAAAAAAAATAATGGTGGTAAGGATAGATGTCTGCTAGTGTTGATGTTTCTACTTTAAAATTTGGTAGGGGATATAGTAAAAGCAACTCACTATCACACTTGTAATGTTGGGACAACACACACACTAACATTTTCTAAATCATGGAACTAACACTTCTTTTTCCTTCTTCTTTCAGTGGTTGTTGAAACTTGAATCTGCAGAGATGACAGGTGAAATTGGGGTAATTTTCAATATCCCACAACCTTTTACAGTGAGAACCAAGAGGCTTTCCCAGGTCATTCGGATGAGTCATCATCATTTCAAGCAAATCATACAACTCCACAGCGAAGAAGGGAAAACAATTATGTCAAACTTCATTGAGGTTCAAAAAAATCCATTTCTCACTACATTTCCTCTAAATTAAACAAGGATTGGAGAAAATAATTAAGATTAATTTTGTACGAACCTAATCTGAAGAAGGCATTTAAAAAGAAATTGCAGAGATAGGACGTGTTCAGATAATTAAGTAACTAATTACCTTTTCCATTTAATTCAATTCTCATTATATTTTAATTGATCTTTATACTTTAACACTATTCTCTATGTCTAAGCCACCTTCCCTTCCATTCCCAAGGAATAGAAAATGGAACTGTGGAAGGTAGTGCTCCTTGGCTCATTCTTATACGTATATTGAAGCTCTTCCGTATTTACTCCATAATTTCTAGGGTAAATAAGTAAATATCGCTCCACATATATTAGGGGAGAACTTTACGATTTCTTGAGCAAATAAGTATCCAACATTTTGACAATTTTCTTCCATTACATTCACAGATTAGACATAGAAATGCATGCAAGAGAGATGATTGAGCAGTTCTATTCTTGGCAAAATATAGTAACTACCACGACTGCCTAGTCTTATCTTCCTAGACTTTCATAGACTTTACTTAACTTTAACAGGCAGAATATAGTAACTGCTAGAACTGCCTACTCTTATCTTCCTAGACTTTTCAAAACTTATTCAACTCTAACAACTACATTTTTTTTTTTTAAACAAAACAAACTCTAACAACTACATTATAATTAACAGAATCTATTCCCATACTTACTGCCCACATACACACATAAAACACCCCAAACATACTAAAAGTAATTAATCCTGACCAATAGATTCTTTCTTCCTCCTTTGATACACCTTGCAAATAGAATGATCTTTAGCTATTTAGGATCCCTAACATTCCAC